TATATAGTATAAAATAAGCTGGGCAAAGGTGATGGTGGTCATGCCTGTCAGTCCCAGCTACTTGGAGGCTGAGGCAGAAGACTGCTTGAGGCCCCAGGAGTCTGGAGGTTGCTCCGTGAGCCGACGCTGATGCCACGGCACTCGCACTCACTCTAGCCTGGGGAACAAAGTGAGACTCTGTCTCAAAAAAAAAGAACATGTGCTTTGAGGAGAAGGAAAGAGACATTTTATTACTCTGCCAGCAAAGAGGAGGATGGAGACTCCTGTCTGAAATGCCATCATCCTAATAATAAAGGATGGGTTCTTGGCTTCAGGCAATTACTGTTCAACTATATAAACTTCATCCCAGCTGAAGACAATCTTGTGACCTCTGCCTAGGACCTCCCTTTAACAGGTTGAGCTGGGCCATCTCCTTTAGCACAAATAGCAAAAGACTTACCCTGCCCCTCCCAACCATTGGCCTGAGGCAGGGATGCAGGTTTTAGTTCTTTAAAAGGAGTGAAGGACATTTTAAAGAGACAGAAAATATTTTTGCCATTTTTTTTCCAGGCCATTCCCTCTGTTGCAACCTCACTCTTCTCCACAGTACTAGCACAGGTCATTGCTGGCCAGGCCTTGCCACCCCTCCCCCAGCGGACATGGCTCCTAACTCCTGTAGGACCTGTGGGGGTGGGACACCTGGGAACTCTTGAGTACAGGGCTAGCCTTCTAGGAGTCTATGGTCACCTGATGCTGCTGGGCTAGCGAGGCATTTGGACGGTGGCCAGAGTCCATGGTGGCCCAGGTTCTACTGATCCCTACTCTCCCCAACTAAACCCTTGGCTCTGGACCCCTTGGCAGAAGTGTCTCTAAGGTCTCCCTCGCTGGGTCTTCACCAGATGAATCTTTAGAAACCCTCAGCTGGGGCCAGGGGTGAAGGTGGGGGAGGCAGGGGCTTTGGGATTGGGGGCCCTGAGCCAAGGCCCAAGGTGGGAGATAGTTGGACCTTAAGAGAGGGTGGTACCTCAATCACTAAAGTATCTCACTATAATAGCTCAGAAGGGCAGGCCAAGATAATGAACGGCTAACCTGGGGTCAGCTGCTTACCAAGAAAGAAGGAAGGGGCAGAACAGAAGTCTTGGGACCAGGTCAGTATGACCAGAGTGCAGCTGGCCCTTGTAAGTGGGAGTGTGTCTGTAGGATCAAGACATCTATTTCTCAAACACGCTGGTTCCTCTATCCCAGAGTGGCCCATGGTGCTGGCATATCACCGGCTGTCAGGTCTTTGCTCACTCTGTTCACCCGTGATTACTGGCGCATGGGGTCTATGTCTTCTCTGGATCCTCAGATTTGCACGGAATAGGCGTGCGGGTCGATCCCGAGCTCCCAATGCCCCTCCCGCTCTGCAGGGGAACTTGCAGATGGAGCACGGCACAGAGTAGAGGTTCAAGCCCGCTCCCAACCCTGCGCCCAACCTGCCCAGGTGACATCACACTCTGTGCCCTCAAATGCAGAGTGCAAAGAGCCGTTGCGGGGAGTGCACAAAAGTCCTAGTTAGCTCCAAGAACTGTCCGGGACTCACTTCCCCTCTTCTTGCTCTGACCGGAGTCCCTCTGCCGCGGTGAGCTCTAGCGCCCCTATCCCCACCTCGGCCTGGTCCGTTCCAGATCCTCCAGGTCAGGGAGGCGCCAGGAAACGGGGGTAAGTGTTGCACAGCGTGGACCTCAGGTACTCAGAGTTAGGCTAGATACACACCCGCGAGCTGGGTTCCCCGGCGGGCGGCTGAGAGCCTGGGAGCCAGATTGTACCCGGATCTATCGATGCGCTCGGCGCGCAACGTGGTTGAGGGAGCAGGCCGGGGGTGGGGCCAGGGCGGGGCGACTAGCTCCGACTGGGAGGGATGTGCCTGGCGGTAAGTCCCCATTTGGCAGGCTGTTTGCGGGAGGCGGCTCTGATTGGCCGGGCGGCTGCAGGCGGCGGGGTTAAGCGCATCGCCGTCGCCCCTGCCTAGGCGCGAGCCTAGAGCGCTGAACCCGCACCTAGGACCTACCGCGGCGGTCGCGCGCGGCCATGGGTATCCGCGTTAGCCCCGACCGCCCGGCGCTGCTCCCGGGTGGCCTGGTCTTCCTCTTGCTGCTGCTGCTGCTGCTGCTTGCACACCCGGCGCAACCAGTCCGACGTCCCCCCCCGGTGGTGCTGGGTGAGGCGCGCGTCTGGTGGTGGGTCCGTCGGTCCTGCTGGCTGTGTGCGGGCGGGGCTGTCTTCCTAGTCTGCATCTATTCTAAGCACAGGATGGGGAGCGTCTTGGTGTCTGGCTTGTGCACTAGGTCGGTGGGTCCTCCTGCCATGCTGGCCGCGGGTGTGGTCAGCCTCCCAACACCTGCTCTGGTAGAAAATTAGGGTGTATGGGAGAGTTAACCATCCGGTTGTCCATATCTCTACCTGTCCCGCGTCAGTCCCAAGCCTTGCCTCACCTTATCACCATTTTTTACCTGGAAAGACTGTTTGGTGGGGCCCCACTCCTGAGGGTTGGTGCGGGTGGGTGGAGTGGCCTCACTGTTGGCCTCCATGTCGACCTGGGCCTGGCTAGGAGACTGTCACCTTTTATCCTTCTGGCCCCACATGTTTCTGCAAGCATTACTGAAAGGAAGCTCTCTGGGGAAAGCATGGCTCTCCTAGCTGGCCACCAGCCCCCCACCCCCAGCTTATCAAATGGGTGGCATTGGGCCTGAGGAAGGACACCTAAGGGAAACAGGGTGGCTGAAGACAGGGCAAAGGGTTCTGGCAACAGCCATGAACAGGTGTCGGGGAACATGCCTGTACTTTTACCCCTGCCGGACCTAGTTGGACTAGACTATGTTGGGGCTGGGTGACCTCCCCTGCCCACCTCCTCCTTGGTCACAACTCGAGCAACTGTACAGGAGCCAGAGTGTTTCCTTGTGGTGATGGGCAGGGATGAGACCTCTATCTCAGGGGTCTTGAGTGCCTTGTTCAGGCTGTCATTCCTATCCAGAGTTGGCACGTTGGTGGCCAGCCAGGAGTCCTGAGGGCAGAGGGCATCTGAGGCATAAGTTGTATGCTTAGTCTGCTACAGCTTGACCCCCTGTGCTCTTTCTGCTAAGAGTATTTTAATGGGGATGATATAGATCACAGAAGGATAGGATTGGCGAGCAGGGTGGTCCTAGGGAGGCCCACCAGGAGTTCCAGTCCAGTAAATGCTCCAGGGGAATGCTGGGCCCAGGTT